GGGGGGGGGGGGGGGGGGGGATCGATGTAAGACAATTTGCGTAGTCAGGAATCCGTGATTCCGATCGACACCATCCGCTGGCTCGTTAGAAGCTTCATAGAATCATGAAAGGTACAAGGCTCCGGGCTCCCTTTGAACGTTGCCGAATACCGTCGGCTTGTCATCGTCGGCAACAGGTGTCCCAACGGTACGTGGAACACCGTGTAGCAGAGACGGGGAGAATTTCCTCGCACCTTGGGGGAGGAGCCCGACACGAGGGCTCTACATTCATGACAATCGGCAGAGTCCCGGGATTTCTCGCCGATGTTCCTGCCGCTTCTTTACCCTTGCCGGGCTTACCGGACGCATACGTGCGCGCACAATGGGACGACACAGTCAGCCTCGCTTGAATTCGGGCCTTTCGACGGAGCATACGGAGCCGGCCAGCGGAGAGTTGGAATCCATTAGCGGCGGCGTACCTACCTGTGCAGGAATGCCACGTAACGTCGACTACATTTTCGGCGAGCGCAGAGAGAGAGAGAGAGAGAAGTCGGGGACTCTTTAGGTGTCGGTCGCTCGCGCGACACACACAGCGCGCGCACCCTCCTTCCTCCCGCCAGCATCGCCGCGCCCCGACTGAACCGGCGCCACGGCTGTTCCGTCGTTTCGCCGCAGACACGGTGGTGGTGGTACACTTACGTTCCACGTGACACGCTGGCGCCGCGCTGGTGGGGAGAGGAGCGCTACGCGGCGGCCTAGCGTCGAGCATCGCCGGCATTTTGACCTGATAAGTCGTCGGTGTCGGTTCGTGAGAAAGTGGAGAGGGATTCTCGCGCTCCTCGCACTGCAGAGGACATTTAAATCGACCGCAGGCCAGACGGGACCGACCGTGCGCCTTCGGCCTTCTCTCTCTCTCCTGCCGCTTCTCCTGTTCCAGGGAGAGCGTTTTCCCCCCCTCCCCCTCCTCCTCCCCCCCCCNCCCCCCCCCGTACGTGTCGTCGGTCCTTCACACCTACCGTTCCTCACCAGTCGCTACCGAATCGGCAGAAACCTATCCGCCTGCCCGCGCCCTCCTCTCTCTCCCCCTCCTCTCACGACTTTCCGGCAAAACGAAACGGACTCACATCGGCCGGAGCGCGCAACCGACTGACAGAGGAGAGCGAGTCGAGCGACGAAGTTTAGTGGCACTGTGGCCGAGAACAGCGGAACGCACGTTCACGCAACGCATATTTATTAAGGACCCTCCCAGTGCGTCCCGTCGACGCGCCCCGCGGTTATTTATTTGTCTCTACGTTGTGCCTGTAACACGTGTGGGAGTAAGCCGTGGCGGCCACCGAGGAGGAAGTAAAGAGCACGAAGGAGATACGAGTCCACGATCTGTCGGCGTCGTCGTACGCAAGGGGGAGAGAGAGAGAAATCGATTCCCGGAGGCGAGAGAGAGAGGCGAGGAAAATGTGTAGTGCGTGAGAAACTGTACCGAGAAACGGACCCCTCCTCTCTCTCTTCCTCGCAGCCGTCTCGTTCGCTGCGACTTTGCACGTACACGCGTGCACGCGCGCACACGCACACACGCCGCCGCGCGCACATACGCTGTGCCGTCGTCGTCGTCGCGTTTCGCGACTCGTCGCGAGGTGAGTGATCCGTCGCGTCTCGGGCCACCGTAACGAAGCGGCTCGTCGTCATCGTCATCCGATTCGCCGCTGTGAAAAAGTGTTAAGTGTCCCCCCCGACTCCCGTCTCCGCGCCCCCCTTCCTCATTCTCTGGCTATCCTCTCGTCTTCTGCGGAGACCGGCGAGATCCGCCGAGAGAGAGCGAGCACGTGGACAGGACACACATCGAGCCGGAACGTTCCTCCGGAGGAACGCGAACGGGACTTTCGAAGTGCAGGCCGAGGGTGTGGTGGTCGTCGACCGGGCACCGTCGTCGTCAAGGCACTTGGTTGGTTCCTCTCTCTCTCTCTCTCATCATGGATCTCCTCTGCTGCGAGACCACGGAGAACAATTGCCGGGCCTACGCCGACCCGGCGCTGCTCGACGACGACAGGGTGCTGCAGAACCTCCTGCAGACCGAGGAACGATACGCACCCAGCAGCTCGTACTTCGAGTGCGTGCAGAGGGACATCTCGCCGCTCATGCGCAAGATCGTCGCCGAGTGGATGTTGGAGGTGAGTGCCGCTTCCGGTTCACGTGTCGCGACGTCAGCCCCGCGCCCATCGCCGCCTGTCGCATACGTAAACTCGTCGAGAGGACCGAACCGGCTTCTTCTGGCCGCGTCAGAGGCTCGCCGGCATTCTTTACCGGGAAGCGAGACAGCGGCGACGGCTCGCCCGCTTTTGACGAGACCGCGTATCGCGAACCTGCCGAGCTTTTCCGTCGAATGGGATTGTTGAAAGAGTCGGGCGGCATCACTTGACGAGATCGAGTCGATTACCGCGATTAACTTCGATCGCGCTTCAGCCGATCTCGCCTTTTTCTAAGGTGGAAGCTAAAGATAGAGACGATCGAGCCACGATTACATGTTAATCGACGCCGGGAAAATGCCCGGTCGGCCGTGAGACGCGTAAGCGATTACGTGTTCCTCTCGAGAGACCACCGAGGTTACGACAAAAGAGAGTAAGCGATCTAAAATTAAAGTTTCCAAACGACGGCCGACGGACTGCGGTGTCTGCACATTTTTCGTGTGATAGTAATAATTTGGTTTATTTTATATCAGACAGCGGGAGAAAGAGAGAACCGAAAAGAATTATTCCGAGTTTATGTATCGAGCGTACCTATATTTATGTAAGAAGGATACATCGCTATTGTAAATCATGTCACCGCTGCAGAGTTAAAGGTCTCGCGCCGACGCGTCTAATGTTGTCGTCGTCGCTCGCGAATCTTATTCTCGGCCACGACCGCGATTTATTATTATTCGTCGATTTAAAAACACCGAAGGTAAACCGTGTCGGATCGGTGCTCTTAAAGAACAATGTAATTGAATTGATTTGTATCTAAATATACACCCGACGGACGGATGAAGGTCAATTTCCACGCGGCGTGTGAATTTTCGGTTCCCTCGCGCAGCGGGGCGAGGGGATCCGTATCTTTTTCATTACTTGAATTCTCTACGTCTTCTTGGGTTTCACGAGGACGCGAGGGTAAGCCGGGTAGCACGAGGACTGAATTTCGCAGTCTGTATTGATATCAACAAAGGAAATTCCAAAAGTCGATATTAACAATCGGACGAGACAACGATCGCTTACATTGTAGTCGGCACGGACGCGTCCGCTTTGCCGCGGCGATTATATCGAAAATTAATGCGTATCTCTCTCTCTAGCTCATCGACGTGCGTTTTCACGCGCACCGATAGGGATCTCCCTATACGTCGCGATACCGCATTGAAATTCACCTTATTTAGTCTCGCAGCGTCGTACTTTGCGCGGTCGATGATTTGGAAATTATGCGCCGTCGAAAGTTAATTATTCCGCAAATCGAATATTTACAGGCGCGTCGCGGAGCACGCGACGACGTGTGTCGTCAAGTCCCCCCGTCCCGATGAAAGACAGTCGAGTAGACTTCGGCTTCGTAGACAAAAGCGCGCTGTTTCAGAAGCTGCCGCGTCCTTATCGGCCCATCGTGTTCGCGAAGGCGTTTAAATCGCCCGCGATTAAAGTGCAACCGATCGTCTTGCGCGCGAGCACGGGGACCGTCAAGTGTTTCCGATCGGGAACATGTCGCCGCGTTTCTTTTGTCCCAACGGGGCCCATTGTGATCCCGAAATTCCGCGGAATTCTTTGCCGGCGAGCGAACGCGCAAGTGCGAAGTCTCCCGACGTCGGCGCAAAATACTCGCGGCGGGATCAAATTTATTCCATTTTAATATGCGAATTTAGATACACGAGATACTCAGACACACCGGGTGTCCGAATAGATATCAAAGGTTTAAGGCAGCGGCGTGTCGTAAATCGGCCTTTCTCAAGCCCCGCTCGCGGGGATATATCCGGCGAATGACACGAGGCCGCTCTTCTTTCTCAAGAGATCGCCAAAGAAGTTCGATCTATTCCTATTCTCTCTTAAAATATGTAAAATAATCTACGTATATGTTAATTCCGAGACACGCTCTCCGGGAGCAACGAGCGCCGCGCGCATAATCACATTCTTTCCGCGACGATTATTCCCCGTTGATCGCGGGCCGAGTTCGTAATTCGGCGACAATTAATTCCCTCGGCGAGGCAATCGCGAGACGATCGGGACGCGACGTAACGGCGATTTTGACATTTCGTCGTCATTGAGCTGGAAATTCGGCCCGGCGCCGATAAGCCGCGACTTACGTCACCCGGCTGCGTTTCCAAAGCTGCCGATAACGGAATTGTACTCCGCGATTGACATCGAGCGTGTGTGCTCGTCGATTAAAGAGCAGCCGACGATAGAGCCCGGTAGCTGGTGATCTCACTGGGCGCGCGTTCATCGATTCCCGATCCGATCCTGGCGATTTAAAGGCCGCGCCTGTCGCGAGACAAAAGGAATTCGCTCCTCGAGTATTCCGAGAGGATTAGAGAGAGAGAACGCGACGGCATAGCCACGTAGCACCCCCAATCCTCGTCGATCCTATTCTCAATTTTACGATAAAGATACCGCTCACGAGTGTATTCGCGAGCTATCGCGGGTCATTTATTTGTAGTTTATTACACCCGCTCCAATTAAGTATATTCTTTAGGGAGTTAAGATTAGACGGCCCGCGTCGATAACGATTTCGCCTTCGGCGAATGAAACGGTAGATTAAGCGGACTTGATCGGCACGATTCTTACGGAGGCGACTAGTTGTTCCCTCGAACACTTCGCGATGCGATATATTTTTAAAGGAGGTGGAGAGAAAAGAAATTGAATAAAATGATTACCGCAACGGATCGAAGGAATTTTGATCGCGACAATTCCTCGTTTATCTCAGCAGCTAAATCAATTTACACGTCGATTCATATTAATATTTTAATGTATAATGTAATATGTGATAATTTATTTCATATTTATTTGTGTCATATTAATTTATATGTTGTATGTTAATTGTCATTTGTTCGATCTATGTTTCTCCTTCTCTTTGTACGAGGCGTGAACCGATGATTTTGAACGAATCGTCGAGCGAAAGTAAAAAACTCACGTCGAGAGAGGCGGAAAGAGACGATCGGTCGCGCTGACGAATTAAGCGGCGTTCCCTGTGCGGCCTCCGGGCTGGACTTCCTTCTTCGTCGGATATGGTAATGAATTCCTCCACTTCCGGACCGGATTGTTGTGTCGTTCCTTCGGAGCTCGCTTTACCTCGCTCTCGTTCAAATCGGAGCGAAACGATACGAGTTATATCGCGCTCACGTCCCGGCGGCGTGTGCGTGCAGCTTCGATATACATTCTCGTTCTCTCGTTCTTTCTATCTCTCCTTCTCTCTCTCTCTCTCCCGCCGCAGAAGCGGATTGTTTTTCTCTTCCCGTCGACGAGAGCCGACGATGGCGACGGTAGGCGTTTGATAAAGCCGAATTTTTCTTTCGGCGCCGTTGAAAACGTGTATCTCACACGCCGATCGCACGGAAATACGTCTATCGTTCTGAACGATCCGTTTGGTCACCCGATCGAATCATCGTGATATTTCCTGATACATGTAGACATTTACCAAGCGATAGAGATAATTGAAACGCTGGTATTTATGGCCGTCGAGGCTTGCCGCGAGGAAGAAACGCCGAAATCTGTCAAGTGAGCATTTCGAAATGCGAATTTCTAAAAAATTCACTTTGCATTCATTTTTCCGCGATTTGCCCGCATTTGTAAACAAAATTATTCCCGTCCAATCTACAAGAAAAGTTTATAACTGCATAAAACAAATTGGATAAATTTCGACATCGACCTTTATATAATTATTATTAATAAGATTTATTTCGGCCTAAGATAAATAAATATCACAAATAAATGTTTAAATACTTTCTTCTGCAATGCAGTGGTTATCACTTCGAACACCTTCTGTGGAGCTCTTTTCATCCTCATTAGTCGTTAATAAAGAACTTTGATTTTTCGAAGATATTTTCTCACGGTGGTGATAGTTATTGCTTCATCCCCTGTGTACGTGTCACACTTTATATATAACTTTTGTCGGTGTGCCAACTTTACCTCGTTGTTATATCGGAAGGAAGATATCGGCGCCGTGTCGTTATGCACGCATCGCACCGGGCTTCGATGTAGCTTCGTCTCGGTCTTCGTTACATCATACTTGTTTAGCATCGTTCCTTTCTTCAAGCGCTTAATTGCTCTCGCGCCCCAGACGTCTAATTGCAACAGTCAAATTCGCGCGGTGACCTCGGCAGCGCGTTTCGCGACGAAAGCGAGCCGGGCCCGAGTGGCGGCGCGCATCATACGCGCGTGCGTGCATGCGTGCACGCGTGTCTGTGTTCGTTCGTAACCATCACGAATTCTCCGACGTTAGGCCACGCGTCGATCCGGCCGGCACGACATTGACAGGCCGTTCTCGTGTCGATGGAATGTACCCGGCTTTTCGGAGCGATCGCCGTTTGCGCCGCTCGCGATTACACACGGGGTGGTGGCCTCGAGATCGCCCGAATGAGCCGACAATGTGCTAAACGGATCTACGTTCTCGTTTTTCATCAGGAGCCGCGGATTAGCACGTGGAGCGACACAAGTCGCACGAGAGAGGCGAACGGGGAAAGAGAAAGATACTTTACGAAGCGTGAATAATTTGTTCGTCGAGTAATACGGAGGGGGGGGGGAAGATAAACATCGCGCACGGAAGGAGGGAAGTAGCTCCCACAGCTGAAAACTAGTTTCTACGGGTGAAAATTAGCTGTCCGTGTGATACTACTGAAATTTCGTTAATTTAGCTCGTTCCTTTCGTCCCGGTGCCTAGCTTTTAGCCCCCACTTTTAGCTGAAAACTAAGTCCGGTGATGAAATTTCAATTATACTACACGGACAGCCGATTCTTCTTTTCCGGTGCGCGGATTAAACGGCCACGAATCCTCCATTGAAAGGAACCAACCACCCACGAGAATTTTGCGCGAGTAGCTGTTGTTCAACACAACACGCGTCACAGGTGGTACACCGACGAACGAGCGCTCTCGAGTGGGTTCGCTTCTCGCTCGTGTCACCCTGTATATAAGTTCGCGCAACCTTCGTTGATAGCGAAGGTGTTGAATTACCGGCTCGCGAGACCCGCGGCCGGCCGATCGGCATTCGTCGACCGGTTTCCTAACTTCCTTCGCGTCCTGGATTCCTTATCCTTTAAGTAAGAACGCCCGGGACGAGGCTGCCTCTCTCCGGCCCGATTATTATCGACGTATGAGAGACATAACACCGGCCTGCTGGCCGGCCTTTATCGCCGGCAATTCTGCTTAATTGGCGCCGAACTTATGAAAGATCAGCGGGTTCGATAAAGTCACGCAGATAAGAGTAACAGAATTCCTCGGGGCAGCTCATCTCTCGCGGAGCAAGCCGAGACGTTACTTTATCGATTACCAATTAACATACGGATCGCGCATGTAAATGCGGGGGTTACGGTTTCGGCGCAATGACTTTCGCTAATTGCCCTAGCGGATCGGCTCGTTCTCGAGCTGAGGAATTCTCGGGCTCGAGTAACGACCGGTATGATGAAAATTCTGACCGACCACGCGCGCGAATCCCCTCGTCGGTATAAATTAACGACGCGGTGCCCATCGAAATTGTGAAAACGGGTAGTACCGTGGCGTTAACACGCGATATTCTATTAAATACATGCATTATCCCACGGTGTATCGTATTAGCGAGGAACGTCGTGTCTTAACACCCCAGCCATGGTTTATTATTAATAAGAAACATTTCGTTACATGTGAAAAGCCACTCGCGCACCTTTAATAATACTGCCGTAGATGTGAAACGTCGTGCTGATACAATCGTGAGGAGCAGCCAAGAAGAACCCTTCGACTCGGGCGGGCTTCGTTCCGCCGCTCCTGAATTCCGTGGGTCCTCCTTCACCCCGACTTCGTCTCGATCGGCTTTCGTCGATGTTTGAACAGATGCACGATTATACTCTCGAAGCGATTTCGTTCGATTCTCTCTCTTCCCCTCTACCCCTGCTTTCTCCTTTCTCCGCCGCTCTTTCTCTCCTTTTCTCTTTCTGGCGAGGCCTTACGTATGATTTTCGCCGACGTGTAGCGCGATTATTTCGTTAAGCCGCTGCTGCTAATTGGTGGTGGCGGCGAGGTAATTACGAGAGGGTGCATGCATGCGTGAGTGAGTGAGTGCGCGAGTGAGTGAGTTTATATGTGCGTGCGTGCGTGCGGCCGAGGGCTGGCGATCGTTGGTCACGCTCAATAAGTTCTTCTCTCGCGCTTCGACGACGACCATTTGTTCGTTCGTTCCTTCGTTCCTTCGTCTGTCCGCTCGTTCGTTCGTTCGTTCGTCGGCCGGTCCGTCCGTTCCTTCGGGCCCGAGCAGAATGGTTGTCAGTTCAAGACGTTTCATGTCTTAAATCTTTGTCTTAAGTAACGTATGGCGACTGTCTTGTGTCCAGAATTAAACTTAAGCTACAGCCGTTCCGTTTATGACTGACGACAAAAACTGTTGTATAACGAAAAAAAAAAAAAAAAATTAAAAACAAGTATAACTTATACATATACTATTGAATTAAAAATCTGCTTTAACGGAACATTCGATTTATAGTACATTCGTCGTTCATAAATGCGTATTATATTATGAATATTTATGAAATATTCATCTATTATTATTAGCAGTAGTCGTGTAGTAAATTCTTGCTTTTATGTCTGTACATATAATATGTGTTTATTTTTTGCAAACGTTCTTCCTCGATTTCTTCCTCTTCGTTCGTCCGTTCGTTGCCGCCACCTCGGCACCCCGAGGCGTCCCGCCGGAGCTAATTCGCGATCCTGCCGCAATTCAGTGGTCCCCGAACTTCAAAGAGACGCTCGCACTCGGTCCGGGGTGCTTGACCATCGCGACACGCGATTCGTTTCGTTCTTCGTGATTGCACTCTCGATGCGTGCGATGAATTATAATGATAAGGCGCGACGGGGGGAATTCTCTTTCGTTTCTTGATTCACGATCTCTCCGTCTCTTTCGGAGAGATCCTCGGGGAAGCTGTGGGAATTCGGGAAAGATTCGCGCCCGACGTTGGGATCGTCGAGCGGCGGAGTTCGGCCGACGGGAATGAGAGAAAGAGAAACCTGAAGTCGAAAAGTTCTCCGACCTGTGTGCGACTAAAGGCGATCGACCCGTGGTCGCTGGTGGCCGTGCGCTCGTTAAAATACGATCGGAGGAAATCCGGTGCGATACCCGCGCATGCCTACGCCTATGTTAGCAGCAGCGATTGCGCATCGCGCGAAAATACATTTCTTTTTATTCGAACCGTTCAACAGTCCGCGTCGAGAAATGAGGAAAATTCCAAACCCGGGAGAAATATCGGGAGAAAACGATCCGGATAGGATCGGCGATTCTCCTTTCGTTCGCGTGTTTCTGCTTGGAAACACTCGTACGTGCAAATACGCGGGCTGTCTGACAAACGTTAAGGGGAAAATTGGACGGTAAATTCGAAGAGTTTTAATTCGAAGCGAGAATAATAATACAAGGAGCGAAAATGAGCGTGGTGCGCCGGTGGTGAGGATTGGTAATGGGGAAATCGGACGACGTGAACTTGAGAGATTCATTTTCCGACTAGAATCAGACCGCTAATACGCGACTGTACCGGGGAAACGTCGAAGAGGCGGTCTCGATGATCTCACTGCGATTCGCCCGCCGATCGAGCCTGTTTTTCAGCGCGTCACCGCGCGCGCGCGTTCCTCCGTCTCGGCGCGCATGCTGCCGTGCGGGATCGCCCGACTCATTTACGCACTTGCAACCTAAGTAACTCGCGAAATCCACCGCTGGGAAGGCGCGTATCGGGCATCAGTGCGTGCGGACGTTATCGCGGCCGTCCCGATCGCACTGCGGCCTTGAAACGCGCGCGCGATTCCCGCCGCCCTGTCGCTCATGCCACGGCTGCGACATTGCTTGTTACGTTGCTCTCCTCATCTTCAGTTCATTCGTCCTGCTTGCAGGTATGCGAAGAGCAGAAGTGCCAGGACGAGGTCTTTCCCCTGTCGATGAACTACGTCGACAGGTTCCTGTCGATCTGCCCGATCAGGAAGTCGCAATTGCAGCTGCTCGGCACCGCCTGTCTCCTACTGGCGTCGAAACTGCGCGAGACATCGCCGCTCGCCGCCGAGGTTCTCGTTTTCTACACGGACAATTCCATCACTTTGGACGATCTCTGGGTGAGTAATGTACGAATGCGACGGGGGGGGGGAGAAACGAAGGAATGAACGAGATCGGCCCGCTCGATCATCGGAAGGGATCATCCTCGATCGTGTCCGCTGCTTTTCGGCAACAACGATCGCCGTTGTGGCCGCCAACTGCGTAATTAGCTCGTTAACCCACATATAGACGCGAATCGCGGGCCATTATCTTATCTCGCGAAACCGTTAAAAGGTCTTTGCAGCGAGTGAATTTATCTCGCGCGAGAACCGTGACAATAAGTTAATAATAATAATTTTCAAACACACGTCGATCCGGTACCGCTTGAACGGACGAGCATGCGCGCGAAACGCGGAGAGAAATCTAGATCGTCGTCGTGGCGCGTAACTAGTTCGCGCGGTCCACGGCCGAAAACTGGACCGGGCGGAATTCTAGAGCGGTCTAGCGTTTCTCGCCGGCGCATGCGAGTAAAGCACACGCATGGTACCGCTGCTCTCGCCGGTTATCTACCGCATAATTCCGCGAGTAGGCGTCTCGCCGACGCGGAGAGAAGAGAGATCGATCAGTGCCGCTAGCGTCGCCGGCGATCGATCGATATCGTTGCGATTTTACCGCCCCGTCCTGCGTGCAGAATGCGCGGAGTGTAAGAACGCGCGGCGGCGGTGGGTATCGCGACCGGCCATCCGCGAATGCATATATGTATCTGGACTGGCCGACCGTTCCGGCGATTGTCGCGAATTCGGAGCTTTCCACGAGCGAGATCCGCAGCCGGATACGTTCTTTCTCCTCTCCTCGCCGCGCGGAAGATTGACGCGCGCGCGCGCGGGCTAATTCTCGGCCGATCTTTCCCTCGCGCGCGACCGTCATGAAAATTGCATGGGAGAAATTGAAGGCGGGAATTCGTCGACTCGATTATTACCTCCCCGGCTCCCTCGACGCGACTGTTTATACGGCTCGTCCGGGAGGAGCGCCGCGACTATTTGGGGTTCTTTAATTCGGATTCGCGCGAACGGGCCGCGCGGTAGGGGGGAGGCGAAACTCGCATTTAAGAGGAGAGCCTGCTGTTTGTTTTCACGATCGTTGACCCGTCGTACACACTCGGTGTGTACTCGAGCCCGGCATCGAGAAGGGCGCTCGCTCGCTCGCACGCTCGACAAGGTGTTCCGCTCTCTCGCGCTCTCTTCGTGCCGGTGATTCGCGACGACGTGTCCCCGACGTCGCGTACTACACGTGAATTCCACGAATCGTCCGACTCTCGACGAAAATACGGACAAATGTCAGCGAAACGTCTCATCTTCCTTCATTCTTTCGGAGCGGAAATATCATGTTACCGGGTCCCGATCTTATCTAATATCTCCGCCGAAGATACGGGAGGTAAGGAGCTTTCACTATCGGCTAGATTACAAAAGGACCTCCGGACGAGTTTTCCGTTTCCTTAATTGCGCGCCTAGCTCGTTCGACTGAAGGGGATGCTGCTATGCTTGAAAACCGGCTTCACCGGCGGATTACTCATATTTCCCTTCCCGCAAAGTTTACGTCTTATTGATTGCGTGGAATTATTAATGCTTGTTTGCATAGTGAAAGTACGTAACGAGGAAAATCGAAGGACAAAGTAACACGTGAAACCCGCGTGGGGGGGGGGATCCGCTGTAGATCCTCCGGCGACCGCGAGATGGACTCTCGAGTATATACATATGCCCGATCAACCGACGTCGGTGCATTCGAGAGTGCACCGAGTGCGTCCGCGTGCATTAGACGAAGCCGCGTCGCATCGTGTTCGTTAGGCGAGCGATTCGTCTCGTTCACAGCGGCGCGTTTTCGACGCGAGGTAGTCCAGTGGCGACGGTGACGTAGTCTTACGTGGACTATTTTGGGTCGTGCCAGGCGGTCTTCGGCTATAATGGGATGGCGATCATCTGCGTCCTCTTTCTCTCTCTTACTTTCTGTATCTTTCGGTCTCTCTTCCGCCTCCCTCTCTCGTCCGCTCTGACGTCGCGACTTTTTGCGGCCTCGAAAGTTAAATACCTTCCCTGCGTCTCGCACGTTTTCGCGGAGGAACTCGCGCGTGATGGCACCGTCTGAATATCGTTATCGCCGTCCACATCCGCGCCAGACGGAGCAATTAATCGTGCATTGATACCCCTCTCTCTCTCTCGCTCTCGCGTCGGAATAGACGTCTACGGCGAATCCTCGGCGAATGTTAATTATACCGGTGACATTCCGAGCGTCTCGCGCGACATTCCGCGTCTTGAGATAATGTCGTGAGGTACATTGAAGGGAAAAAGAGAAAATGAAAAACGATTTCGCGACGTGAATGGATTTCGGTCTCGCCGATGTCGATCGGAATAAAAGGGGACCGAGATAAGGATGAATCGAACGTCGAAGGATACGTTCGCGATATTTATTGCCCGCGCACTTGGACGCGCATAAATGCCCGCTCCGTCGCGCATTTTTCTCACTGTCTTTCTCGCCTATAACTTGGTCCTTCGCACCGAAATCCCCGTCGGGATTTCTAAAGACGATTGCCTGTGCCACCTGGAAAGTCTGCCGAATAAAAGTTCAAGTATCATTATCACAGGTTGCACAGCGCGCGCGGACTTATCTCTTATTGATCGTCCCGCGAAGCTACACATACTTCGCCCCGTGTTACTACGATCGATCGCTCCTCAGCGAAACGCGAAAAAAGTATTACATCAGCGTTTGCTCCTCCGTTTTACAAGAGTACAAGGATATCTCGTCTAAGCGCTCCTATTGGTCGGACGGCAGATAACTCGTCATCCGTCAGTAGCGTATCTACTTCGCCGATCCGTCTCGACCCGCGTGACCATCCCTGCGGATCAACGAATGACTTCGTATTTCTTTACACGACGCGGGTGTGCTTGTGTGTGTATTTCACGGTTGGTTTTTCTAGCAGAAAAAGAAACAGAGAACGAGAAAGAAACAAACTTTACGCGCGATATTGGCGTATCGCGTATTAATGCAGCACGTTTTGCTACTGATGAGGGACTCTCGAAATGATAATACAGATAAAAGCAGATAAAGATAACGCGTTGAGAGTGACACGAAAGTATTTTATCGTCGGGCTGCAAAAGAGGTGGAGAGAGGGAGAGCCCGCGATTAAAAATTCTACGTTCTACGACAAAGGCGAGAAGGTATTTAATTGGTTATTATTTCTCGGCGTCGGTCTTTGGAAATTCGACAGATATCCCGATACACAGTGTATTTTACATCTTTTTTATTTATGGATAGTCATAATTGGAAGTCGCAAATTTTCGTTTTATGAAGTTCTACGGCTCAATGACGATTCGTGATTTAATATTAAATCGCGCATCTCGGCCTCTCGTCGATATTCTGTTTCTTATCTTATTGCATTCTCGCCGCGACAACGAGATCGCGCGCCATATTTTTGCAAAAATTGTAACATCCTGCGACTTCTGCGGGTTACCGTGCGACATGAAACTCAATATGATAATCACGACGAGTATCGGGTATCAAACTACGCAGAGCTCTAGTCGACACATAAAACGAGCTCTACGATCGCGCGGCTTCGACCTCGAGCCTACATTAACAGTCGCTTTACAGCGAACACGCGATGTTGGTGCGTGCATATAATTTCCGTTTAAAATCTTAATTAATCCACGGTGACGTGTGGAAATCGCGGGTGAATCGTTAAGAGAATTTGCCAAAATTGGGGACTCCGCGATAAAGAAATCCTTCCCATCGAGATCAATTTTAATTCGAGGTTGATGTATTTCAATTTTAATTTAATACAAAAATTTAAACTTCAATTGGTCAAAAGACTAATAAAATTTCGTAGATTTATTAGAAGATGGATCTACTAGATGGATTTATTAGAAGATGAATCTATAGTGATACATTTCCGGCCTATGTGATTTTTACGTGTTGCTTTAAAAAGACGCGTTACATCATTGCCGCGCGCTCAGCCCTTCCCTATCGATCGATCCTTGAACAGAAGGGACGGCGATACTTATGAGTCAGCCCATACAACACTCGTGAATACCGTCACACTCACAGAAACGAGCGAGCGAGCGAGCGAGTGAGTGAGTGAGTGAGTGAGTGAGTGAGTTAACGAACGAGTGTTCTCTCGCCTGTTGCTCGAAAAATTCCATTCACCGGGACTCCAACACGCCCTTGTCGAAAGGGCCGGTTCGTGTTCCACTCGTGACGTGTCCGCGTCGAAGTCGGCCGTTTTCCCTGTAAATTGGATAGTTTCCGACTGCAACTTGTACAAACAACCCAATCGGCCGACCAACCGATCGATCGACGTTGCGTATGTGAAGAGCACGGAAGGGGCTTCGTGAATTTAAATGCTCTTGCAGCGCTGACACGTGGTGGTCGCACGTGTCTGTCTGTGTGTGTGTACGCGTTGACATGTACGACGACGACGACGAATTCCGTTTCTCTCGAGGAATATGAGAAAGAGAAAGAAAGAAAAAAATGTAAAAAAGAAAGAAAGAGAGAGAGAGAGAGAGAACTCAACGGCTCTGAGCTCCCGGGCAAACACGCGATAGCCTGAGCAAGCCTAAATAGATAACAGCTGATACGGGAAACGTTATTTAATTTTCAGCGACTCTCTCTCTCTCTCTCTCTCTCTTTCGCCGTAGTCGTCGTCGTCGCCACCGCCACCGTCGTCGTCGTCGTCGACTCGTTCGATTACGTGCGCGAACGCTCGATTCTGGTTTAAACCGCCGTCAAGGTTACGCGAAATTCCTGCCCCGCCTACGGTGGCTTTTAAACTCTCTTCAAATAAATTGCACCTCTGTTTCGTTACCGGTCGAGAGATACGTTCGCATGTTCGTTTCTGGCGTGAGGAGCGAGAATGAGAGAGAGAAAGAAAGAGGGAGGGAGAGAGAACGGCCGGGGAGCGTATAACATCCCAAGGAATACTACTTCCTGCAGAAGATAAAAAAGTGCCCGCCTCGCTAAGCAGAACGGGAATATATGAATACGAATTCGAAAATAATTTTTACCGGTCATCGTGATTCTTCTCTTCTCTCCT